TATTCATGTAATGTTTGCTTTTAAAACATTAAAAAAATTTCCTGGATTATGAGGTTATAAATACCTAAACTCAGTATGCTCTGCATTTTCTTTACTTAACTATAATTGCTTCATTTTTGGTTTATAGCCTGAGCTACTAGATAAATAATATGCCATTTATTGATATGTGGAAGAATGAACATGGTTTAAAGATGAGAAACCCACTTTGTACGTTAAGGTTGAAGTTTTATGTGGTGCCTGGGTAGAGACCTCAGAGAGGCATTTGGCTATGTAATACAGGGTTCGACAGGTAGAAATGAATCTATGAGAGAATAACAGCTTAATGATTTAGGGTTAAAAATTCTGGGGCCAGACTACACACATTTGGATTCTAGCTCCACTCCTAGTAGCTGCTGACCTTAACAAGTTATCTAACTCTGTGCTTCAGTCTCCTTGCATCTAAACTGGGGATAACACAAAGGCTGGTGTGAAGATTAATAAAAATGAACTTTCTGTGGGTTTTTTGTTTTATTTTGTTTTTTGAGACAAAGTCTCAGTATTTAGTTCAAGCTGACCTTGAACTCACTATGTAGCCCAGGCTGCACTCAAACTCAAGCTGATCCTCCTGTACCACCCTCCTGAGTGCTGGGATTAAGTGTGTCACCACGCCTGGCAAAGTGAACGTATTTTTTTGTTAAATCTTGTACTTGTGCTCCAGCTTGCTGTGTAGTAAAGCAACAGTGTTTCTCCAAGTTTAGGTGCAGTTCAATGCTCAAAGAGGTAGACATTTTGTGGAAGTATGCCCTTTAAGTATTTTTTTCTGGTGTTTTAACATACCTTTTATATTCCTTATTTTTTCCTTTGAGTCTATTTCAACAAACAGAAGTAAAGTATTTCTTCAGATAGTATCTTCACCCAAGCTAGGAGACACTGCCATGTATGGGGAAGTAATTCTTATGTACATTCAGAGAAGTCCTATTCCTGAAGTTCTAAGGAAAAAGAAAGGACTTTCTGTACAGAGAGCTGAGTAAAGAAACAGTGCAGTATATACACTTTCCTGGTCTGGATGCAGAGTCTCTAGCAATGTTAAAGGAACAGGATGTATGGTATTGGTTTCTCAGGTACAGCTTCTTCCTAAGTCAGATTTCCGGAATAAATTACCTGTCTAACCTTATCTCTTTATTACACTGGAAACAAAGAAATTTAATACAGCACAACTTTTTCCAAAAGAAAAGTATCATGCTGGAGGGGAGGCAGTATTTGGCTAAAACAAACAACTTTAGAAAACAGGAAGCACACCCATTGAGGCTGTGTGAGAAAGTCTATGTGCGTCTCGGAGAAGACTTGGAGCAATGTCTGAAAGCTCTTTTTCCAACCACAAAAACTACTGTATGAAGTTATATTTTCAGGAACACATTACTGAATAATTTCATTGTTAATACTAACAGGATAACAAGAAGGTTACAGTCTACTTTCAGGTGTTGAGTTTTACACTATTCCACGTATATTAGCTTTTTCACAAGGACAGTGAGGAAAAAGAGGATCTTACTTATATTTAATTGAGACCAATCCATTGCCATGTATAAGTTGTATCAAATACTGATACTATTCAGAGGCAGAAATCCCATACACCTACAATCTTGATAGCCAATAGAGTTGCTGCCTACAATATTTTGTATTCTATATATGCTTCAGGTTTTTTTCAAGATGTACACATGCTATTTTTCCTCACTAGGAAAATAACAGACCACTGCAAAAGATCCAGACAACATATGAAGAATCGAGGCGGAAAGAGCTCATATTGCTAGCAATCCTAGTCCAGAGAGAAGCTATGTCAATGGTTCCTCTGGGCAATATTTATAGCATGTATTTCCTCAACCTTAAGATCCATATTGTAAAAGTTTAGTATTTCTAAAATCTGTCTACATCTCAAAACTGACACATATAGTTACAATGATGCTCTTTTATTAAGATGTTTCAAAGTTGTTTTAAAGAATGAGCAGCTCTTTAGACAGTACCATGGAATATAATTAAAAGAGAAATTGTAAAACGGTGTGCATGCTATGCCATCATTTTTATATTTACCTTGTTACAGGATGGATACATGTATGCTGCTATATGTGTATTTTATTTCTAAAAGGAATCACAGAGAACAAGTAAAGGCTGCCAGAAAGGGGAAGGTGGTTAACATTGGAAGAAATCTATTTTTCATTGTATACCCTTTCGTACTCTACTTTTTACTTATTTAAAAATTATTGTCTCTAAAAAGTAAAGAATACTACATGTTATTATGGACACTTGCATATGAAGACAGCATTTAAAGAACACATAAAAGAAGGATACATAGCAAATTTATTAGTGTTTGATGTTGGAAGAAATGAAAGGAAAAAGAAAAAGTCTGCATAAAGAAAACCTTACAGCTATGAAGCTTTAATTCTCTAAAATACTAACACTTGTTAATGGGTGGTGTGTACATGAGTGTTATACTGGTAAGTGAACCCTTTTTAATTTAAACTTTCAATGCATAAAAATTAAAAACATCTCATAGATACCACTACGTATCTATCATAATTGTTAAAAATAAAGAGACAACAGTTCATTGCTAGGGAGGAAGTGGAACAACTGTAACTCTAATACAAAATTGAAATGACTGAAAGATGGTACACTCATTTTGGAAAATGGTCTGGCAATGTGTTATAAAACTAATAAGCCTAGGGGGATATAACTCAGCAGCGCAGTAACTGCCTGGCAAACACAAGGTTCTAAGTTCAATTCCTGGTACCAAAAAAAAAAATCTAACAATACTGCAAACTATTCGTAGGCATTAACTCAAGAGAAATGAACGTACATCTCCTATGGAAAGACTTATATGACAATGTTCATACTAACTTTGTTTACAATAGTCATAAAATAGGAATAGTATAGGTGTCCGTCAAGAAGAGACTGGGTAAGAAAACTAGTATATCCATAAATGAAATACTACTCTGTAAGACAAAACAGACTCCTGATACATGCAACCATAGGAAGGCTTTCTAAAATATTATGCTGAGAAAAACCTTTGCACAAAAGAATGCATAATCTACGATTCTATTTATATGAAGTACTAAAATAGCATAGCAAATCTATTGTGGAAAAAGATCAGATTTTGGCAGGGGTTTACGTTACAGTTGTATGCATTTGTCAAAACTCAATGAATATTTATTTTAAGACACACATATTTTGTTCTACATGAATTCTGCCTCAAAAGGAAGAATGAAGTGTACTCATCTCTACAACTTACCTTGAAACATCGGGGGGGGGGGGATAGGTGTGAGACACGACAAGTGTAACTAAATGTCGTTGTAGTATTTACATGTAGGTATAAAGGTGTTTGCTAGGAAATTCTTCTACATTTTCATCATAAAATGCTAAATACAGTATAAATACTTTTAGTCAAGCTATTTTTTACAATGTACACACATTGTAGACAGAAGGAGATCTTTATCAATATATATTGGTCTACTCATCTTTATTAAGTTTAATGATTTTAAAGAAGAATTTGTGAGTATTATATTAAATTTTTTGGAACCATGATAGAAGAACCATGGTTTTTGCTTTATATTTATTTTTTATTTTTTTACAGTGGTAGGGATCAAACCCAGGGCCTCACACATGCTAGGCAAGCATGATACCATTCCATGTTTAAAATAAACAACATAAATGCTGCATGTGCTTCTTGATTTGCAAATGTGAAATACACCACAAGGAAGGATGGCCTCTACCTATTCTACTCTAACCCAGTTCACTGTACCCCTATGGAGATCTCAGCATTCCACCACACTCTTAAGGAGAGGAGAAAGAGACCCCAGAGGGTCTGAAAGCCACTTTCAGCATGGACTCCATCCCTCCCTCAGTGAGGAGGCCCCTCACCCCTCCTCCACAGTGCCCCCAGGGGGGTGGCCAGTCCAAGAAAGGAGACAAATCTGTTCTCTCCTGCAGATCCCCGGAGACCTTTTAAACACTGTCACTGCTCTGTGTACATTAGACCAGTCTTCCTCAAAAGCTGCTTAGATCCAAGAGTGAGGTTTATGCTGGGAATGGAGGCTAGGGCTTCAGCCTTTAGCACAGCAACAGGAACCCATGCTCCAGCCTCAGGGGTGGTGAACCTATGGCACGGGTGCCACAGTGGGCTGTTGGTTATCACTGAAAGTTCTGAAGGTTCACCATCTCTGAGATTAAGGGAATACTGCAATAGGTCATGGTCAAGCTTCCTTCAGAAATAAAGCTTTTCTCCCTCTCCTCTTTAACTTGCTCTGCTGTAGTGCCTATGTCTGGGTGAAATTAGATTATTTCTTGATGTCCTCATCAAATCCTACTTTTAATTTTTTTAAATTTTTTTTTAACGTTTTTGGTTTTTTTCCGGTACCAGGAATCGAACTCACAACCTTGCGCTTGCCAGGCAGGTGCTGTGCCGCTGAGCTAAATCCCCAGCCCCCTTCATCAAATATTACTAACAGCACCTAATATCATAGATTGTAAATGTATACCACTTTTTTTCTCCTAATCATATAATGGGTATACCTTTCCTCATCAGTATATACAAATTTTTCTATTGCACGCTTTCTAATATTTAGTTAATGAATATTTTAGTCCAGGGATCAAAAAGTGTATACAGTAAGACCAAGAATTACAGGACAGTCACCTTCTTCTAACAGGACACACGGATATCAGGGATCACTAGGACCTAAGAGCCTCATCACAGGGCATGCAGTTTGTCCCAGTGTGACATTCCACTTGTTCTGTATGCATGCACTGTTTTAGCGAACCAGAAAGTGGTGCAGTCTGTCAGTGTCTGGCTACAGGACATCAAATGATACAGTTTGTGAGATTTTTATATTCCTAATGGATTCAATGACTAAATATTTTTGCATTATATAAGTATATTTCCATTTTATGCTTGAAATACAAAATAACATATAAGAAAACAATGATGAAAAAAGAACTTTGGAATTGGTAAATTATTGAGTAACTATATCACTTACCTCATTTGAAGGAATTGTGGCAAAGGGTTTGATGACAGCAGCTAGAGGAATCTGGGCCTGTTTAGCCATATCTGATGTGCACGGGAAACAGTATGTAGTACAGCGGATGTAACGAGGGCTAGCATTGCCTTAAACAGTGAAAGGACATGCTTAGAACATGGTTAGAAAATAATATATTCTAAGATATGTAAGTATTTATGAAGATGCTTCTATAATGTACTGCCTTATTTGCAAAATTTTCTCACTTGTTAAAATGAAAAAGTAATATGTAATTCTTAATGTACACCCTAGGAACACTATAATTTATTGCTAAACAAAATACCAGATTATATATAGATAAAAAGAGGTGTTTTAATTACTGTTATTTTCCATGAGTAACGTCAGACTCCCTGGGAGATATAAAACACAGAGGCACAAAAATATGAAAAGATGAAAGTTTTGGGTCTCAGACATTTCTTCTTTTCTATCAATTTATCTATTTACGGGAAGGGTAAGCATGGACATATCATTTCATACCATCAAGTGATCCCATCAAGTATGATCCCATTTTGACTATTTTTTCTAAACTTTGTAAAAAATTAGAAATAAAATTCTATTTGTAATAGGAATACTATTTTTTAAAACATGCTAATCTATTTTTAATACACATTAGGTTTCTTTGCCAAATGTCTCTATTTTACAACATATATGAATGCTAAAACAAAATCCACAACATAAAGAATACTTTTTGAGCATTACAATAACATCTAAACTCTTGAGATGGAATTATAACATATTAGGGCCAAAAGAATACAATGGTCAAACAACATTCACTTGAGTGTCAGATGTGTTTTGGGCACTGTCCCACACAATTTATGTTGATGCAGAAAATAACAAAGCTAGCAAATGAGTAAATTATATAGGGCACTGGAATACTGCATGATTAAAAAAAGCGTATCTGGTAAGAGGTACCAAACACTGGGAAAGGAACGGCAATTTTAAATACTTACACAGTGGCCCTTTTTTTTTTTTTTTAAAGAGAATTAAAAAAAACAGTAAGATACAGAATTTCAAAACAAGGTGATAGGACATTAACAATGGTTATTATATCACATATTGTTATCTTCAAAGTAGTTGCTCAGATTACCAGATAGGTATGCAAAATTGATCAAACAATATAAGCACTAACTGTTCCTTTCAATGAGCTAATAGAAATTAGTAGTACAATTCTATCTTATGTATATATACATATATTTTTCCTGTCCCTTCTTTTCTCTTTTCCCCCATCCCAGTTGTTCTTTACTTTTGAGCAGTTTCTTCCCCTTTCGCAGTATCTACTGTACCTTTTGGATCTTACTCTTTCAGTTTCTTACACTAGGAAGATAGTATGATGTTTACACACACAAGTCTGATTTATTTCACTTATTTTAAAAAGGGTCATTTAGGCAAAGACTCTAAGGAGACAAGCTACCTTGTCTGCAAGCAGACTTCTGGGGGAAGGACACACCTGGCCCAGCAGAGGAACAGCAGGAGGCCTGTGTGGCTGCCCAGTCACCGTCAGGCACAGCAGCTGGCAATAAGCTAGAGAAGAAACGGGCCAGATCAGGTAGCCTCCTGAGCTCCCCCGCCCTGCCCTTTGCCTTATATTTGCATGAAATGGAGAGCCACTGCCAGGTCTGAGAAGTCTGGGTGCCGCGCTCTGACAGAAGTGCCCGCTGATGGCAGTCTGGAGCAAGGACACAATGCCAAGAAGCCAGATCAAGGAGACTCAGGAGGACGCTGCTGTGGCTGGGGCAGGAGCGAAATGGTGGTGGCGAGGACTGGCTGCCTAGCAGCACAAGCACAGAGAAGTGGGCAGATGTGGGATACATTTTCAGAGTACTGTAACATATTTATTGGAGAGGGTCAGGTACAATCCAAGGTTTCTGGCCTGAGGAAGTAGCCACCCACTGAAAAGGGAAAGGATGCAGGTAAGAACAGGTTCTTAAGGGATGTGTGGGTAGAGACAGGAATCTGGTCCACCACCTGTCTAGCTTGTGAATCTGAGTAGACAGTGAGACACTTGAATGTGGAGAGTGCACTGAAGTCTGGGTTGGAGATGCAGCACACACTTGAGGTCTCAGTATATGGACTGTGTCTGAAGCCATGCAGGTCAAAGTTACCAAGGGAATAATTGTGGTCAAAGAAGAGAACATGACCAAGAACTGAGCAACAGGGCTTCTAACATACAAAGGTCAGAGGTCAGTGGCTTACCGGAGTGAGGAGGATAAAAGCAAGGAGAGTCTGATGTCCAAAGGTGAAATTAAGAAAGTATATCAAGGAAAAGACAATTGTCAGATGCTCCCGCTAGACCAATGCAACTGCCAAGAATAAGAGTCTGGCTGGAGACCCTGAAGAGAGAGTTTGGGTGGACCAACAGGGCAAAGCCTGCTCAGAGGGAGCACGAGGCAACAGATGGAGAACTGGTGATGGCCTTTCAAACTGTGTTGCAGAGGGGAGCAAAGTAAAGAGGGTAAGGACAGTAGACCAAGAAAATATTTTTATTTTTTAAGACAGGAGGGATTATTTTGCTTTAAAAGATGAGATTCGTTGCATAAAAAGAAAAATATAGATAATATAAAAAAAGAAAACTATTGATAATATAAAAGAAAGTGAAGAGACCTACTGTAGTAAGTGCACAGAGAGAAAATCTGACTCTGACAGGAGCTCAGATGTCCCACCAATGGCAAAGAGGAGGAAGGGGGAGCAGAAGCCAAGAGAAGGAAGGTCGGTGTGGGGGATCCATGCAACCTTCTCAGTCAGGAGAAGTGAAAAGCAAAGAGGTGGGGAGACGTGCTGTGGGTTTGGCAGCATCTGCAGAACAGTACTAAGGGGAGTGCAAATGGGAGAGGACTTGGAAAGTAGAATGTGCAGCCAAGGCTGCGGCCCTGAGCTCAAAAAAGGCCTGCAGCATGGCTGAGTCTTCCTCTGCCTCAGGCTCGCTGGACAGACCATACCCAGAACAAATGCAAGGTTCTTTTCCATTCTGCTCTGCTCCAATGTACTGTTGCCAAATTTTACACTTTTTTAGGACAAGCTAGAAATCTGGATTTTTACATAAAATAGTCTTAGTTTTACATAATTAAAGTAACTGATATAGAAACAAAATATTGTAGAGGACAAATTAACATGACTGTAGGCCGTATCCCACTCCTCCTACAGGAGTCTGGGAGAAAGGAGATTATTGGTACCCACAACAGGGTGATGATGATGATGACGATGAGGATGAGGATGATGATGATAATCATAGCACCTCCCTGTATGTTGGGCATCATTCTGCTTGTTACACACAAACTCACTTTAGTTCCACAATTACTTGCTGGGACTGATACCTTCATGATCCTATTTTTCTGAGGATGGAATGGAGACACCAGAAGATTAAGTGATTTGACTAAGGTAAATAAGTAGCAAAAATAAGAGCAGAAAACCTATCATAACTCTCCACAACATTCCAGAAAAACTGGTTCCAGGTCATAAAGGGCTTGAATGTTGGACAAGTAAGATCAGTCCTGTCTGCCGTGGACAATGATGAAACTTTTTTTAAGCCAAAGTAAGATGATCAAGTAAATGTCTGAAGACAAACAACCTACTCAAAGTGTACAGGATAGCTTCTAGGAGTGGGACATCACCAGAGACAAGTAGACTGGTCTGTCACTGTGAGAGTCCAGGTGAGCAGAGAGGGGAAAACCAGGGTTACAGCAATAGCAGTGAAAGAAAAAGGCTCTTGTGGCTTTCTTCATAATATCCCGCCCTTTGTCCTCCAGGGTGTACTTTCATCCTGCTTTTTCTTCTTTCACCCAGCCCAAGCTCACTCTGCAGAGCCAGTTTCTCCCTCACTCTACACTCTTACTTTTTCAAATAAACTTTGTTATCATTTTCAAAAAGAAATAAATGAAAAAGCTTATGTAGCGCATGCAAATATGCTGGAACTCCTATTATGTCATATTTAGACAAAATCTTCCTCTTCCTTCTTGTCACATAATGACATACAGACTATGAATTAAGAATTTTTGGATACTTTAAAGCATATTTTATTGTCCATCATACTCAGTTTTTGCCATATATTGTTATGATTACTAAATTATAATAATATATGAGATACTAATTTCATTGATATATAAAATTGGATATTTGTTAACTTTCAGGGCTTTGACAGTGAAATACATATTTTAATGCACTCATGAAGGTAAACAAATTTTGTTTCAGAAAGACAGTGTACACAGAGAATAAAGCTTACAAAAGCCGTTGAGAATTTATTTCAAGTATGGGCTGAGCATGGTGGCGCAACCCTGTAATCCCAGCCCTTGGGAAGCTGAGAGATAGGAGGAGGCCATGAGTTTGAGGGCAGTCTCAGCTACATAGTGAGTTTGAGACCAACCTGAACTACAAAGTGAAACCCTGTCTCAAAAAAAACAATAGATGAATGGATGGATGAATGAACTGATGAGTGAATGAATGAATGAATGAATGAATAAGTAAATAAGCATGCAAGCAACCATGGGGCTCAGAAACTATGGCCACAGTGGATAATTTAACAGCTTCAGGAATAAGATTCAAACTTTGAAATGCTTAATAAAGAGCACTGTAGAAACAGAAAAATCTGGCCCTAAACATTCAACAAATTATTTACTCAACAAATATTTATGAAGCAAGGAATCATGCCAAGGAATTAAGAGACAGAAGACAGTAAAGTCTCTGGTTTCACACATTAGTTGGAAAGAGTGATACAGAAACAGAGGATTGCAGCATAGCACGTAAGTACCATAGAAGAGCAAATAAACTAGGAAGTGGCACAAGGGCAACAATGGCTCTGCCACTTTGGGTCAGCGGTGACCACATAAGGGGTAAGGTGCTTCATCAGGCTCATAAAGGACAGTAAAAACACAAAGCCAAGGGACAAGCTGAATCTTAAAATCAGATCCTGTAGCCAGAGGCAAAAGAGTATCATATTTTTCAGATACATTTTATATTGACTTTTATTTATATACTTTTCCCCCATCTTTTATTAGTGCACACTATACTGACTAAAGGGTTTCATCTTGGCAGATTTGTACATGCACATAACACACTTTAACCACCTTCCTCTCTCCCTTGGCCCACCATCCCCCCTACTGTCACATTTGGGGGGGCTTCAATGTGTAATAATGTACTTTGATCATATGCCTGGTTACCGGCTCTTACACTCCTTCTATCTTCTTCCCTTCCTAATAATCATTTCTTCTACCTTCTTGTCATCTTTTATACATATTAGAGAAAATTTGTGTTACCTGTCTGAGTCTGAATTATTTCACTCAACATGGTGATCATTAGATCTTTTTTTTATGTGCAAATGGCAAAATTTTGTTCTTTTATGGATGAATAACACTTTGTTGTATATATTACCACCTTTTCTTTGTCCATTTATCTTGATAGGCACCTAGGTTGGTTCCATATCTTGGCTCTTATATATTCTGCCACAATCAACATGGGTATGCGGTATCCCTATGGCATGCTGACTTTAATTCCTTGGTACACATATCAAGGAGTGGTATGCTGGATCAAGAGACAGTTATGTTGTTAGTTTTTTGAGGAATCTCCGCATTTTCATGTAGCTGTACTAATTTACATTTTCAGCAGTATAGAAATGTTATATCTTCTCCCCCAAAGCCAGCATTTACTGTTTTTTGTATTCTTGATAATAACCATTCTGACTGAGGTAAAATGGAATCTCAACACAGTTTTGATTTAAATTTCCCAGACCCAGGAGGGTTAAGTGACTTACTCAAACCCATCCTGCTAGTCAGTGGTGGATCCAGTAAGAAAAAGCAAATATTGTTTGCTACTAACTGTGGGGCGGTGGGCAAGTCCTCAACCTTCCTGGGCCTTGGTGCCCTGCTATCTGTAAAGTGGAGAGCCAAGCACATGAAGGTCAAGGCTTCCTCTGGCTCTATATTCCATTTACGTCCGTGAATTTGTGTACATGTCTGAGATCTTTGGGCTACATCCTAAAAAGTGTACTAGAATTTACTAACAAGCCCAGCCAGAAGAAGAACTTCATGGTAATGGGTATGAATAAGCCAATTTCAGAGTTCCATGCCAGGGCAGCTCTCCCCGCTTGCTGAGCACAGAAAAGGATGATCTGAACCCTGCCTGTGGCTGGTCCTTTCCTCTCTTCCTCCCGCTCCTCCCTTTGGACTTTTTCCATACATGTTCTGTGTAAGCCAGCACTTGTACTCCTAGGTATAAACCCGGAAACAGTGAAAGCAGGAACTCACTGACGTTTACACGCCAATGCTCATAGCAGCATTATTCACAACAGCCGAAGGAAGAAAGACCCAAATACCCTCCATCAAATGGATGGATTAATAAACTGTGTTGTCTAACAGCCTATACATATATATACATATACATATACATATACAAATTAAATTCCAGTAGGTGCTACAATGTGGAGGAACTATACAAGGTGAAATAAGACAAACACAAAAGGACAAATATTTTATGATTCCACTTGAGATAGCTAGAGGAGGCAAATTCATAGAGATAAAGTAAAACAGAGGGTGTCTGGGGCTGGTGGCAGTGGAAGAATGGAAAGTTACTGTTCAATGGGTGTACAGTTTCTGTGGTAAGTAAAAATGCTCTGGAAATGAATAATCATGATGGTTGCATAACACTTTGAGCATAATTAGGATTGCTGACATATTTTATGAAATATGTATGTGTGCGTGCAGACGTGCACACACACACACACCCAGTTTTTACAAAGCATTCCCCTAAAAAAACCCAAAGGAAAGAAGTATGCACGTGCTGTTCCTTGACACACCTGCTCTCCCACGCCTATGCCTTAGCATCTCCCAAAGCCTGCGCTAGTAAGCATCCCCCACCCTCCCACTTTTCTTCTGGTTTTTACTTATTCACCTAAGACTCAGTTTAGGTGCCCCCTATTCTGGCAGGACAGACTGGGTTAGTTATCTGGTAAATTAGCTTACACTTCAGTAACAAGGAAAGAAGCTCTTTATCTTTCTATTATAACATTTATCCATATATGTTTAGAGTACATAATGTTTATTTTCCCTGTGTGGAGCTGGAACGTGTACATAACACAGCTTCACTCTTTTCTCATCCCCTTCCCCTCTCCTCCCTCCTCTCTTGCTCCATCTCTTGATCCTCTTCCCATTTGAGAAAAATCTGCCTCCCTACTTCCTATTATCTTTTATTTTGCTCTTTATTTATATTTTGGGCTTCTCATATAAGAGAAACCAGGTGATATTTAAGTGTGTGTGTCTGATTTATGTCACTTAACCTTATGGTCTCAAAGTGCATCCATTTTCCTACAAAAGACTCACATTTATCCTTCTTCATGGCAGAGTAGTACACTATTATGTGTCCATGCCACATTTTCTTTATCCATTCATCAGTTTATGGACATACAAGCCATTGCCAAGATTTAGTTATTATGAATTATCCAGCTATAAACATGGGTATACACGGATCATGTGATATGATGTCTTTAATTCTTTTGGAAAGGCACTTAGACGGGGATCAATTGGAATTTCTAGTTTCAGTTTTTGAGGAATTTCCATACGGATTTCCACAGCGGTTGTACTAGTTTACATTCCCACCAACAATGTAGGAGGGTAAATTACCTAAGCATTCTCTGCCTCAATTTTCTGATTGTAACATAAGGATGATATAAAGGACTATATCATAAAGTTACAGGGGAATTAAGTGAATTAAATGCTTAGAAGTGCTTAAAAGATGGTTTTGACACAAAGTAAGCACTTATGAGCCACAATAATAATGGTAATTTATATATATTTTATTACTATATTATTAATCACAAGCTTAACATAGCAGCCTAGTACATAACAGGTATGGAATAAATATTTGCTAAATGCATGCACATGAGTGACGATGAATAAACAAGTAGAACCCTGCTCGCATGCAGCTTAAACTTTTGTGGGAAAGACAGACCAAATCATGGTAAAAATTAACATGTTAAGAAGTTGTAAAAGAAGGACACATGAAGTGCTAAAAGTAGAAATTAGAGAAGATTTCAAAGAGAAAATTAAGTTGATTTTGGAAGAACTAACCATTTCCCCAGCAAAGGGATAAGAATTATATATTCTAAGGATCTTTTGCTCAATAAATGCTTATTGGACAACTCTCACGCTTTAGGTAAGTGGTGGTTTTCTAGGGATGAAATGGTAGACAACAGCAGTGCTCACTGTAATGCCGAGAAAACCGCACCCACTGAGAATCAGAGACTCGGAGAGAAAGAGGGGGAGTGTGGAGTGGCTGAGGCGGTTGTGGAGGAAGAAATAGGACGGAGGGGAGGCTGGTCAAGAATATTCTGCAGCTGCAGAACCCCTGACATTTTTGTTTCTTTGAAATATTAAACTGAATTAATACACTGTTTAAAAGTTTATGTAACACTATTAGATTGAAATGAAATCCCCATTTTTGTAGATGACAGTAAAAAATGCAGCAACTTCATAGAGCTTGCCCTAGTGAACACAGCTTGTACGGGCCTATGCATACATCACTGAAAATAAGTACCTTGGTCTTGTATCACACAGTCTGTGGTGACCAGAGGAGGCACCTGGCCCCTGGTGTTGGTGGCATAAACTTGTCCCCCTCTCGTAGCTCTGTCACTCTCGATCACCTGGATCTGGCAAAAGAGACACCAAGAGTAAGTAAGTTAAGGCTCTTCCTGTACTCGCAGGAGCTCACTGGCTCACTCTCTTCCCTGACCCTTCATTCTCCCCCATGTCCATTCACTCATATGAACAGGCATCTTCTGTGTCCCTTCAGATCCAGTTCTGAGAACCCACAATGTCTTCAGCTCCGTCTTTGGTTACAATGTTAGGTCAGGAGTTTCCAAATTCTATTCTACAGCACTCTAAACTCCAACCAGACCCTTTAGAGAAATTGATTTTTTTTTCATATTTGTTGGGACCAAAGGCAAGCATGTAAAATAATACATTCTGGCAGGAAAAGAAATTAAAACAACTTTTTAAAAGGAAATATATTCTGCAACCAAAATTTTAAAAAGCTAAACATCATTAAACTCAGAAGAAATGGCTTCGAAATATGACCTGAGTCTCAAGCTTTCTCCTCAAAATTACTGTTTCTCTTCAATTTTCCTATTTAATTTTCTCCATGACACATAAGGGACACATGAGAAATAAGGCAACAGTCTCAAGTGCACCAATGCGGTTTTTGTCCACTGCATAAAAACCAACAGAATCAAAAGCCCCCATATCATCATCTGACTTGTAAACGAATTTCTCCATTAAAAATACTTGTTGACAAAAGCTTCTTATAAGTCCTGCTTTTCTATTATAACAGTCTAGGGATGAAGATTATGAGAAGAATCTAATATGAAATTAAGAAGAAAGTAAGAAGGAATCCTATTATCTTCCTCTCTATTTTCTCCCTTCCTTCATATCTTTCTTCAGTGGAGAAAAGAGACAAGGAGGGCAAACAATACAAGAGGGTAAAATAAGTGTTGTTGTTTTTTTTTTAAGGGAGAAATAAGAAGCGTGTCCCTTCTAAAGTAAAAAACCTTACGGTCATGCAGTTTCTAATATCCCTAAAGAAACTATTAACAACATAAAAACTATCTCTCACTAAACACTAAAAATGTCACCTTCTTTTCCCTTTCATCTCATCCAATCTACATGGCATCAACACCATTAGTTTCTCAGAATATGGGCCATAGATTTAGTCTGTGTTTAAATCTACTCACATCTGTCTTCCAAATTTCACTAAACTTGAACTATTAGTATAATGAGAACACAAAATGTGTTCTAAGCATTAACTATGGTAAAAAAAAAAAAAAAAAAACCACAGAGGAAACTAAAAATCATCATTGGCAGAGATAAAAGGTAAACAGGAAACTCAAAGCACCAGGATCACCTTCTATATTTTCAATCGATAACAATAACCCACAACCTGTAGACCAACTATACCTTCTACATTTTGATCACAAGATTAATGGGTTCATTCAAAATGAAAGTAGCTTTCATATTATCAACGTTTATTACAATCATTTTAATGAACATTTTAAGTATGAGATCACTATAATATAGTCATATACTTAATATATCAAACCTATATACTGAACAGTCTTTGACAGATTATACTTCCAAAAGTTTTGCTGCAATTTACAAAACCCTATCCCTAAACAAAAAATATTATAAGTGCTAATTAATTTCTAAATTAATCCATATCTTGGCTGCAACACTATAAAGCGTGAGAAATATTATAGCAGTACTAGTGATTGTTAAAAATACTCTATAGCTTTCTTATCTAAGCATATTCTTGAAAAACATGCTTAGAAATATAACAATAAGCAGGCATTTGAATGAAATTTTGACTACAACTAGACACCTACAGGATTCAGATGTAAAGACAGTGATTCCTGGTAATACTAAAGCACCTCAAAAGGTGTGGGTTTCTCTTTGCTTCAGAAGATGTGCCACTAGAATTACTGTCACACTTATTTGCTACAAATAAAGTATTGTGGTTCATAACATCCAATCAACAAAGAAAAAATAAACTGATTCTCGAGATAAATGAAAAGGAAGGATAAAGAAGAAACAAAAAGATGTGAGAGTAATGTAAGGCTCAAATATATGAAGCATTTGAAATCTGGAGTGGGGAGAGAAATGAGAATAGGAAGCACTCAATTTCTGAATAAGCGTCCCGTGGGTGCACAGTCTGGGGAAGGGCTTGGACGACACTATCAGTTTTCTTCTTTTCAAAATATGGCCACAGTCGTCACCTAAACGCTTTGTAATAAGCATCTCACTCAGGACTTTAGTCACTTTAGTCACTCAGGACTGAAGTGCAGATTAGTAAACATGACTTTACATCTTTCTTTCTAAAAGGGAGAATTAGTTTTTCTAGAAAAAGCATGTTACTTTGGTAATAGGAATACAAACAGGCTCCATCTGGCACTGCTATTTCATTACTTTTCAGATAAAAATAAATATGGGGCTGACTTGTACATATTTATTTGAAGAGTTTTAGATGAATCAAAGCATCTATCACTTCTTGTTTCTGTTGTTCATATTCATTCCTTCCTTCACTCAGCAAACACGCCATCTCACGGACAAGGATCTGTTCTAGGCATTAAGAGACAGAACAGTGGAGCTGATACCCTTGTGCAGAAGCCAGGCAATAAACAAACAAATGCGCTATTAAAACACCCTATGTCGGGCAGTGGTAAGTGCTGTGAGCACAGAGTGATGTGAGCGCAGGTGCTGGGATACCAGGGACCGGCATGAGTCAGGTCCTGCATGTGGTGGAAAGGAGCAAGGAGCCAAAGGAAACCCAAGTGCAAAAGGCCTGATACCAACAGCGTACTCAGCAGGCCTGAGAGGCTGGGGTAGCTGAGGCAGGAAGTGTGACAACTGGGAAGAGACCAGGTCAGAGGTGTGTGTGTGGGGGGGATACCTCATAGGGCCAGGGGTAGAAAATAAGGTAGGGTGTTCTGGGCAATTGTAAGAATTCTATATAAGCTCCATATAAACATGATGCTTATTTAGCTAGAAAAATCAAATAATATTAAGCCACAAAATTAATGACTAGAAATATGATTAAAATACAGCAGACCCTTGACTTACAAAACTCCTTTCATTCCCAAGAGCTGGCTGAAACTCAAGTTGTCAACTGAAGGCTCAGGCTCCTCTACACAGCCTTCAAAGTCTCTCTCCTGTATAAGGCGGATCCGGGTCCTTAAGACACTGACTCAGGATTTCTCGATTAGCCCCACACAGGTAAGGATGCTATAATGTTCCTTCCAGAACCCTTTTTTAAGGGTTAAATCTGTATCTTAGACCATCTGGAGACACGAGCAGCCAGCATTCAGGCCATAATTCATGACTTTGGTCATAAGCTAAAACTAAAATTCTGGTCACAACCCAAATTGTTCATATGTCTGGTTGGTCGTAACTTGAAGGTCCACTGTAAAAGCATTAAGAGCTGTTAACATTTTATTTCTAACATGTTTCAAAGCATGTTATTTTGGTTTGTGTCTAGATGTCCCCCAAAGCCTCAGGCAGTCATAGGTGGAGCTTTTTCAAAGGTGGCTGAATCTAGCGTATGTGATGCTGGGATTAAGGGTGTGTGATAACTGAATCAGTCCACTGATTGGTTTGGTACCACCCTAATCCCAGTAGCCTAGACAGAGTATAAGAGGGGCAGAAAAAAAGCTGTTAAGGTCTCCCTCCTTTGCTTTGCTACCTTCTTCCCACCATGAATGTTTCTCCTGGGTGAGGCCTGGCTGCCATACCACCCTGCCTTGGAGCCAGCTGATTATGGTCTAAACCTCTACAAACTATGAGCCAAATAAACCTTTTCTCCCATTATAGTTTGTGTCTAGATAATCCCAAAAAGCCTCATGCTGTCATTGGGTTTTCCAGAGGTGGCTGAATCTAGAGTGTGTGACTGATTCATAGGGCAATGCTGGGGTTAAGCGTGCCAGGATTAAGGGTATGGGATTTTGATTGGTTTGGCATAGTTTTTGCTTGGTTTAAGGGTGTGGGTGCTACCCACCCCCAGGACGGGTAGCCTGCATACAATGTAAGCGACAGGAAGAGTCTTCTCCTCTTGCTACATTTTACCTGCCATGAACTGTTCTCCTCTGCCATGCCACTCTGCCCTAGCCAGCCAATTATGATCTGAAACCTCTACAAATTGTGAGCTAAATAAATGTTTCTCCTTTTAATTTTGGGTGTTGGGTAGTTTGTCTCAGCAGCAAGAGAAAAGTAACTAAAATACCCCTTTAAACTTGGGTGTCAGTACTTTGTCTCAGCAAAGAAGAAAAAATAAGACACATGGTATAAGCATTAGACTCTTCACCATAAATCTTCAAGTTTATGTTAAAGTATAGAATAAGCAATATATTACAAAAGTAGTCCAAATTCACCACCCCTCCCTTCCTGCGTCTTTTCAATGTGACTTGCAGTCTCTCCTATGATAGGTAGTTAAGTTAGACAGAAATTAATAATACAGAAGAGATGTACTAGGCTCTCAAAGAAGCAGAAAAAATTAAGACATCAAAATTGTGGGCGCAGGTACATCTGAAAAGGCCTGGCCTTGAGATAGGGATGGAATGACATGCCTCCCCAAGGGATAGGCAACAATTTGAGATTATACTATAATTGGTATCTCCAGGGCCAGTGAAGTCCAGATAGTGCATCTGAACCCATTCCTTCCCCAAAACACCTGTGTTCTTTCCAGATACCCTTGCTATATGACCTGTTCTTTATTGGATCAATACTACCTAAGTGGCTATACTTGTGCCTTATTGGTTGATGATAGTTTGACCCATGTTTTCTCACTTCATCATTTTGCTCAATAAAACATTCTCATAGAAATCATCTCGGCGGCAACCCACTTTCCAGATCCATCTTGTCTCTCAGGAGCTGTCTCTCAATAAACCTTTCCTACTGGTAACCTCCTTTGTCCCTTATAATTCATTCTTCGATTTCGTGGCACGAAAACTTGGGCTATCTGACATCTAGCAGGTTGGGAGGTCTATTTTCCCTGTATCACTTCTATCAAGGGTAGAATTTTCTCTAGATAACCCTAGTATCCCTTTAATCCTGGTGTAGCCTACACACACACACAGAAGGGGAAAGAAGCCTCCTTGAGTGATATGTCTCCAAACAAAAATCAAGGCAGGTTGAGTGCTACCAGCCAGAAGAGTTTCTGAGAACAATGGATGAAGAAAGGTCTCTGCAAGGGAGAAGAGCACTTACAGGGCTGGGGATGGAGTCTGGATCCAGCTTCTTCGGGGGCGGGGGTGGCCCAGCCATCTGCGCAGCACCCCCAGCAAAGCCTCCTGAGTAGGAGAGCTGCGTGCCTGCCATCTGCGGGCCATAGTGGGCTGCTTGGAAAGCAAAATTTAAAAAGAAATGATAATCCCAAATCCCAGATGTAAGACTCACTGTTGTCAATACTTGTTGTTGAGCCAAACATGCTGTATTTTTCATATTATCAAATAGGGCAGAGAATTAAGCATAAAAACCTACAGTTCCCTTTATTTTTTTGTCTCACAACACTACTCAAAAACTATCATTCCTTAAAGGTAAGTGATATAGGAATGCAGCTTATTTCCAATCCAGGGATCCCCAGGTAAGCACCCTGGCCACTTACCCTGATGCGGAGGAGGAGGATAGCCAACACCCAGTGCAGGGCCTGGCGGAGGCGGGGGCTGGTACTGGGCGCCCAGAGGTGGTGGTCCAGGGAGCCCATCCTGCCTGGGCCCTGGTGGAGACAGTGATGAGGCACCAGGGCCATTCAGCGTGGTTGGGGGCGGTGGGAGAACCTGGGATCCAGGCTGCAAAATGGACGTCTGTAGAGGTCGCGGAGGAGCCTGGAAGGAGGCTGCTGGCGGAGGGCCAGGGGGCCCCTGGCTTGGGGGAGGCACCCCTGAACCTGTGCAAGAAGGAAGACCAGCCCACCTCAGTGCCCACTGCACAGATCGCTGGCTTCTAGTACACACACGGCCCGCACACTTGCTTTCCAGATTATTTATTTTTTTGCCACAAATTGAAATGTTCCCTTAGAAAGTGATACAAATGCTATGTGGGGTATTTTACACAACTGGAAAATTTAAAGAGGGTCAAAGCAACATTCCTAATTTTAGTGAAAGATAATAAATTTTAATTCAGTTGCACTAACTTTACATGACTCAATAAAGCATCTATAATTTGGCGTAAGATCTTTGTTTGTTTGTTTGTTTTTGGTTTTTCTCCGGTACCGGGAACTGAACTCACGACCTTGCACTTGCCAGGCAGGCGCTTTGCCGCTGAGCTAAATCCCCAGCCCTGGCGTAAGATCTTGACAATAACATAGTAGGAAAATTTATTATACAACAAAAGCATTATTAAGGTAACTTACAGATTCACGAAGTTATTTGTTTTCCATGCTTAAATTGATGAAATAAATTTCTGAAGTAGAAATAATCAGAGATAAAGGCTGGCAATCAACATGCTTTCCAATTGTGTTTCCTGCTTTAATTCTGTGAAACTGAGTCATTTATCTAAGACTGATCCTTTGGCTGGAGGGGTGATGGGAGTGATTCAAGGGCCCAATGCATGCTAGGCACACGTTCTGACGCTGAGCTATGCCCACAGCCCCAAAACACTCACTTTTAAAAGATAGCAACTATTCTGAAAGGGTTTTATTGATACTTCTAAAAACCTAAGTTTAGGTAACATGGAAATACATTGTTTATCAAGATAAATGACTAGGGCTGGGGATATAGCTCAGTGGTATAGCATCTGCCTGGCAAGTTTAAGGTCCTGAGTTCGATTCCCCGTACCAAAAAAGAAAAATGACTAAGTATGTCGTCATGGCAGTGGAGATTCCTATGGCTCAGGGAGTATACAGCATTTCTACTGATGCAATCTCAGCAGTCTGTTTTTTCTCCTTCTCCTCTTTTTTATGGCATCTGACTTTCATTCCTCTCATGATCAAAACACAGAATTAAATGCACTGAGAAACAGTGATTTTAAAGCTTCCTAAAATATTTTCACTATTCTAATTGTGAAGTCAGCAATCTTGTTTTTTATTGCCCTAGCATTGAATGTAAGGTATCTGAGGGTCCTTTCTTCCATCATCTTTAAACAAGTGACAGCATGATCAGGAAAAAAATTTATTAGAGACAGACACATAATACCAATGACTTATATAAAGATGTCTAAAATACTACTTCAATATAGTATGCCAGAGTTATGTCTACTATTTTAAAAATGAAGGAACTGTTTCTAATTAAAAATAATCATAGCTGGGCACAATGGCACACTCCTGCAATCCCAGCACTCTGGGAGGCTGAGGCAGGAAGACTCAAGATGGGGCCCAGCCTGGCCTGCTTAGTGTCTTAGTGAGACCTTATAAATGAAAGAACAAATGAATGAATAAATGAATGAATAAAGATAAATAAATGATAGCTCAGTGCAAAGGCCCTGTGTTTAATCCTAAGTAGAGAGTAGAGGGGTCAACAGACACTAATGTGAAACTATTACCGTAGTTGTTGATTTGCAGTTGACTGAGCTGACTGCCCAGGTGGGCGACAGATGAAGTGGACACAGGACTTGGATACGATGACTGTGTACAGGGCTGGTGCTGTGCATAGGAGGGTGCCGTGCTGTTGACAGGTGGAGGGCCTGGAAACCTGAGAGAAAAAAGCGTGTTAAACAGTATCATAGAGTTTCTTAAAGAACATATCATAAATGTCAGTAACTTATAAAATTGTAAGAGACCATGTCCACGGACACTAGGAAAATGATTGATATTGTACGCCAAGCTTGACATGAGATCAAATAGCATCATCTCCTGTCTATGCTCACATGTTTAATATATAAAGATAGAAAAAAGAAAGTTTCTAATGTGAACACAGAACCAGACTTGGAAATCAATTTAGGAAGCTGAGCCCACCACAGTTACATGTTTACTACAGTTAATCACCAACAGAAGAAAAGTCAAAAAGCTAAATGCTTTGAGCTCGCATCTTTTGTGATCTTTCTGCTTATATCCTGTCTGATTTTTGAACAAAACTTCACTTGTACTGCAATATGAAGTCAATTAGGACATTCCCTGCAAAAGGGAACTTGGAAGTGAACAATTCAGTAAGATGTTTGGGCATTGCAAATTTTTTTAATCTAAAAAATTCAGCATTCTTTACCTTTGTTTGAACTTGTACATTTATTTTTCTTTGTTTGGGATCTAAATGGCCAGCAAATGGGCAGTGCTCCTATTATGGTTAAGCAGCCTTGGAGTCACATTACCAATTTTTTCCCGCTAACTTAGAATTTTAAACAAAAACTAAAATTTCCCAGATGGTATATTCTGAATTTAATTTCTCTCTCTACAGGTAACCATTTTCCTCGTGGCCTATGTCTTAACTTCCATTCCCCAGTGCCCCCCAAGAGCTTGGCAACAGAGTCTGACAGAGGCCAGTGTCTTGCCCGCTGCCCCACAAGAAAGTTAACTTCACTTTTAGAACATCCCAGAAGGAGTTCTCTTATTAGCAGGTCTCTAGGTTTCTTCAAAGAGTAACTCAATGGCTTCCCCACTGGCGGATCCAGCCTCATGGGAGAGTCGTGCCCTGCCCTACCCTTCTCCTCACCCCAGTCTAATAACCCACAGAGGAAGCCAGGAAAAGAGGTTCCAGGCATCCCTGGAGAAGCTCCAAGGTAAATGCTGCCTGGAGCCTGACTCTGCAAAGCTCACCGTACAAACAATAATGGGATTTCCATTATGGAAGGTGTGAGGCTGGCTCCCAGCCCAGGTGACAGTCCCTTGAGGGTTGCAAACTCTAACTAACTCAGGCATCAAATATCTTGACTTCTCCGGGCCTGCTTCTACCTTCTTTCCTCAATTTATTATAAACAAGAACATGAGATTTATTGCCTTCTCTGCTTTTACTTCCCTCCCAAGTGACAGTTCTCCCTGGCATCTGTGTATCTGCCACACTGAGGCCACGACTTTCCCCTTGGCCTCAGTCTGATTTCTGTTCTATAATACTTATTAAGCACTTGTTGACACTGAGCTTGGTCCTGTGAAGGACCTAAAAGGACAATGATTTAAAGTTTTATGAGCAACAGACCAGAGGTGGTTGAAGAATTAGTGATTCATACAAAATCTAAGTGAGGGCTGGGGGTTTAGCTCAGCAGCACAGCGCCTGCCTGGCAAGCGCAAGGTCGTGAGTTCAATTCCCAGTACCGGAAAAAGACCAAAACAAAATCTAAGTGAATATACAGTAACTCAAAACTGAAATGCATAGTACTGACAGAAATAACCTGTGCTACATTTAAAATATGTACTAATCCTTCTTCCCCTAACTTTCCTAAACGCTTTGTTTACTAGGGTAGTTTTCCAGTAGATGTTTTCAAAGCTATGGACATTTTGAAGAGGTTAAACTTTCAACCAATAAACACGTAAGTTTAGAAAGTACTTTTGAACAATTTCAGTGAAGTACATAAATGAGGGTTGTAATCTACTTAGCTCACCTTTGGGGAGAATGACCTGAGGCATGAGCTCCATTCTGGCCTAGATGTTGCAGCCCAGGGGGTGGTGGACCAGGAGATGCCATCACCCCAGGGGCAGCAGCCCCCAGGCCCCCGACTGGCTTCATCACACCTACAACAGAAAGGGATGGATTAAGGGCATGACAAAGAAAGACAAAACGAGTTAAATTAACAATGAAAAACAGGTAAAGGAAGAGAGAAATGAAGGGTTAGGACAAGATGTCCTTCCAACTTGCTTTAACCATTTCCTATGACTATCAATGCCAGGCTCTGGAATAGTTATTTGTCATAATGATAAAAGAATATATATCAAAGAAATCATTTTATACACCAAACAAAAAATAAAAGAGAGAATATATGATAGAAGCACATAGGTAGAATGCACTATCACAAAAAGAATATTAGATCACTGTCTTAGTTACTTTTCTTGTTGCTGAGACAAAATGCCCAACACTCAAATTTAAAAGCTCACAGTTTGTAGATGTTTCAATTCATAGTTGGTTGGCTCCAAGGAAGGATGGCATTGCAGAGGGGCATTGCAGAAAAACAGTTCATGGCAAAGCAGGGCAGGCATAAGGCAGCATGCAACAAGCAACAACAAGCAACAAACGACAAGTAGAGGGAAGGGTCCACAGCCCTCTTTCAGTCTCTTGCATTTTATCCGGGCTACCCACCCTTAGGGCAGGTAGCACTTACACCCTTAGCCCTAGCATCGTATCACAAATCAGTCCAGCTTCACACCCTTGATCCCAGCATCACACACCCTGCCCCACAAGAAAGTTGATCGCCACTTCTGAAAAGCCCCATCTATGACTGCACAAGGTTGTAGGGGTACATCTAGACATAAGCCATAACAATCACACAATGAAAAATGACGTGTGGATATCAGAAACTAAATCTAAAAAAAACAAAACCAGAAAGAAGCAATAGTTGAGTATCCTAACTCTAAATATGAAAAAAAAAAAAAAAAAAAAAAAAGGGCTTGAGTTACAGTATGAGGAAAACCAATAGAAAGAAGAATCTGTTTCTCCAACAGATCCTAAGCATATATTTGGAACCCAGAATCCTGAATAACTGCGAATTGCTCAACTCATCACATTCATATAAAGTGGGGTGCCCTGTGCAATTAAGTGATGCCTTTGGCAGTGACTGTGTCTTCACGCATAAGCAAGTCTTCTCAGGCAGAGAACCTTAAAGGTTTTTCTTCAGAGATGTCTTATGATACTTTATTCTTCTAAACAAATTCTGGTAAAAGGTAAAATCACTAGACTTGGGTTAGATTTAAAGCCACCTACCATTTACTGTACTTGTACGGCCCCCAAGAAATTTAGCTTTGAGCACCTGTTTCCTCTCTGCAAATAAAAGTAAGAACACTTCTAGCCTCTTTCTGTCTGAGGGAATAAACTTCCTGGAGGAAGACCATAGAGGAGGTCTTTTTTGTCTCTATCCCAGCCAATTCACCTGTTTTGTTTGTGATGCTGAAGACTCAATCCAGGGAGCTGGCACTGAGCTACAACCTCAGCCTTCTTTATTTACTTATTTGTATTCTGTGACAGGGTCTCCCTAAGTCACCAAACTGTCCAGACTGGGTTCAAATTTGCATTTCCCCTGCCTCAGCCTCCCAGAGTACGGGACTTACAGGTTTGGGCCACCACCCCCAGCTCCGATATATTCCCTTTGGCCCTGGCCTCCCACTGGCACAGTCAGCAATCAGCAGTGCCCTAGCTGCCTGTGTGCACTCTTCCATGTGACCTGCTGGTGGCATTTCATATTAATATCTCTTCCTCTATGGTCTTCCTCCAGGAAGTTTATTCCCTCAGACAGAAAGGAAATGCCCAGATGACTTCCAGCCACCTGGAAAGGGTTTCTCACACTGCCATCACACTCCTTTGAAGAACGTACTTTCACAAACTTGGGTGATTTGGAATGACATGTGACCACTGAAATGGCAAGTCTTCATGAACAGTATTGATACTTACTCTTGAAAAAGGATTTCTTAAACTGAAGAATGCTAGCGCCACAGTTATAGTTCTGTTTAGCAATCTTTCACATATCACAAACAAAAAACAGTATTTTAAAATTTTAAATTAACTGCTACATAAAAACATAAAATTGTGTATACTAATGGGGTACCGGATGGTGTTTCTATACATATACACACCGTACAAAATTTAAATGAAGTTAATCATATCTATCTCTTCAAACTTATCTTTTTATGGTAAAAACTTTCAAAATCCTTTCTCCCAGCTACTTGAGATATACAGCACATACCTGTCATCTACACTGGCCCTGCTGTGCAGTTGCGCACCAGAGCTCACCACTACCACCTAACTGTTCCTTACTACCTTGATCAACCCTTCCCCATCTCACCTTCTGCCTGCTCTCCCCTGCCGCTGGTGTCCACTGGCCTACTCCCAAATTCTAAGACATCAACTATCTTTTAGATGCTGTGAGTGCAATCACCACGCAGAACTTGTCTTTCTGTGAAAAAAATTCTAACTCCCCATTTTTATGATGTTCTAAAGCTTCAAACACAGCAAAGTTAGAAAAACCTGAGCCTTGTACTCAAACAAGGTTTGACTCTTTCCCTACCATTTAGTAGCAGGGACTCTGACAACATGCATTATCTTCCAGAGTACCGACTTGGAACATTTTGTCAGGCATAACATCCACATCTCCAAAGGTCATCAGAGAAGTAGGTAAGACGAGGCCAATGTGAACATCCAGATCTGCTTCCTCTCCCTTGACCACACTCCCTATACTTTTTCTTTTCTTTTTTCAAAGGATCTGTTTTCTAACAAAGCATATATACCATCATTATATGCACACTTGTGTTTTTACTTTTAAAAGATTATTTTAAAAGTAGAAAAATCACAATAGTAGCACTAAATATTTTCAACTTAAATGATTACATGTAGTATAAGAAAAACCAAAAATATTTTTGCTTTTTAAATAAGTAGATTGGTAGCCATTTCACCCAGTCCTACATTTGTGTCAAGAGAATCAAAAACAGTTGATATACCCAAAGAAAACTGCTGTTCCTCAGTCTTACTAACATGTGTTCTTCTTTTTCTTTTGAAAATCAAATCTGTAGCAATAATTCCACTTATTAACATATGATTAACAGGCAATCATTATGTCTACACACATGTACTAGTAATAAATAAATTTCTTGCCTTTGAGATGCGCAGGGCTCTTACGGAAGAGACAACCATGTAAACAAACAGTGCCGGTGACATGTGACCAGTATTATGAATGCAGAGGACTCCCTGCCTCTTCCTGGGGACTCAAGCATCAAAGAGGAAGGAATGCCTGAGCTGAATCTTAAGGATAAGCAGGAATGTCCTTGGTAGAGAAGACAGGAAAAGGGATTTCAGTCAGAAGGCAAAGCTTGCAAAAGGTCTGAGAGGGCATGGCATGACAGAAATGGCAAAAGGCTCCATGGAAAGAGCTTGTTGGGGACAGTGGTGGAATGGAAGCTGTCCAGACCAGCTAGGGTCAGACTTCAAAGTCCTGGGTGCCACATGGACTCTATTCCCAGGGAAAAGAGAAGTCAGTATCATCATTATCTGCAAACTCATAGCCTTCCTCTAAGTTCATTATTGGCATTTTCAAAAGTGATCAGATACAAGGAGAATCAGGTTCTTCATTTACCAGTGAATTTTAATAGGGAAGGAATGCTTCATGGTGGGAATGGACTATGTTAATGCCAGAAGAAAAAAAGGAAAATTTCTAAAATCACGGAAGTCATCTTTAAAAGAGCGGCACATAATATGGACTAATTTATTTAACACCAATCCAGTTCCTTTCTGGCTTGCTTTTCTTCATGGTCCTGAGCTGGAAAGATAGAAACTCTACTTCCTAGTCTCTACTACAACATAGGTTGTTCTGTACTCCAAATACAGCAAAGCAACCCAACTCTGGGAGACCTGGGTTACCTTGGTGGCAGAGATGGCTCCCCTGGGCCAGGCAGACAGTGACTTATGGCAGAATGTTATGAGGGGCTGTGCAGCTCTATGAACTGCATAGTCTTTAGTCTGTATCTCTGTCTTTCTCTCCGTTCGCCTCGTTACCCTTTAACAAATCCCTTTCTACTATGAGGGATTCTGCTATCAGCAAAGGAACTCTGACCAAAGCAACATCACAGGAAAGCATACTCTGAATTTGGCCCTGAGTCTAAACAACTAAAACCAAAATTAAAACAATTTGTGAGGGAAAAGACTGTTATATGGGCAGAATCACAATGGCCACGTGCTGTTCCTGAAGTACTATGCTACGTGATATACCTCCGGAAGCTCACAATTTAGAGAGGATCCTCATCACTACTCCCATAGCCCTGCTCTAGTTCCAGGACATTAACACTTCCAGGGATGACTCTTTCCTCTGAAAGGATGCTTGGCAATATCTGGGCCATTGTGAGTTGCCATGCCTCCTGGAGGGGAAGGAAGGTACTACTCGCATCCAGGGGGCAGAGGCCAAGGCTGGCGGTAATAACCCCCTAACGCACATGACCGTCCCTCTACACACACACACACACACTCCCCAAAGAACTAGCTATCCCCAAGTAGCCACAGTACTGACACTGAGAACCTCTGCCCCTCCAAGCAGTATATTCTCTCCAAATTCCTTCACTACACTTTCTAATATGCATGTAGTTCTTTCTGAAATGCACATTAGACTATGTCTCTTCCCAGCTTTATGCACTCACTAGCACTCTACTGCCCTTCACACAAAGTCTAAATTCCTTGACATGGTCCACTTTCCACTCCAGGTACTCTGTTCACCAGACTCTATTCACTTAAATAAATGAACGAAGGATTTAATTCAACAAAGACAGCTTTTAAAAACATCTGTGTTGGAAAATAAGTGAGTGTCTTGCTGATGAATGCTGGAGCTTGCCATTCACTTCACTGAGTAAATATTCATTGTTCCCTAGATTTAGCCAATCAATGTATACATATTTCAAAACCAACATGTGCTATATGGGGCGGGGGGAAAGAAAAAGAGAGAGGCAGAGAGAACTAAAAAATGTATACACACTCAAGCAGTTCACTATACTAATATATGTCTGGAAGCTAACAGCCACCACTTTGAGCACCTTTTGTAATTGTAGAGGCCAAAGGTAACTTGTATTAATCTCCGGATGCCTCAATAAATTTAGTATAAAATATTGATACAAATTTTTCTTTTCTTGACGTATACATTTTTTGGTGCTCTAGGTAGATGTAAACAGACAGACAGATAATTTGTTAATTAAAAATTACTTAAATATGTGAGTTTTTAGAACTGTTTTAAAACATTTCCAAACAAATAAATGAGCACCTTCTCTGCCTTACAACATGCATCCTCATATCGTGTGGTAACATAGCAAGGCCTGCACCATGTAAGAACACAAAGGATGGACTTCCAAGTAAGCTGGAAGAAGAACACAATCAGAGATGCCTGGAGGAGTCGTAAGGAGATGTGTGAAGATAAATCTGGCTACAGACAATGACAACTTGAAAATATAGATGGGCTTTCTGGTAGAGCAGGGTACCAATCAGGCAGCAAACAAGAACCAGTCTCCAAACAGTAATAATAGCATATGCGGACGGAGTAAAGGGCACAGACGTGGATGAATGAACCGAAAACGGAAAATGGGGAAAATAATAAGACCAGAGGAGCTTAAAGCATAAGGAGGGAAAATGTGAAGCCATAAAAGGTTTTAAACAAAATCCAAACTAGATTTACAGGCTATTAAAAAATCCCTCCGGTTCAAAAGCTGTTGGTTTGGTGGAAGGCAAGCAGATAATCACTGAGACCACTTTAATCCAGGTGAGAGATCAGGGGGTTGAACAAAGAGTGACAGGAGACTGAAGAGGAGGAAGCTGATGGGAAAGATGTTTGCAACTGCTCTGAAAAAATTTAGGAAACCAATTGGATTAGTCAGTATAAAAAGAAGAGCTTTTTTATAGTGAAATTTTTCATAGTAGATCACTAAGTAAATGATGCTTAATATGATATGGAATGCCAGAAAAATGGCTGTGGAGAAGGAGGAAGGGCAAATAACACATACTTAAGTTCATATGAGAATTTATCATTTGCTTTCTTGTAGGACCTGGACGTAACTTTTGAGTTTACCACATGCCAGCTCCATGTTATGGCACAAGTCATATCATTCAAGCCAGTTTCCTTTGCTGCCAAAGAGAGCTGATAACGTACTACATAGCATTACATAAGGATTAAATAAGATAATACAAGTAAATCTTTCAGGAGCAGTTTTTGAAATATGGAAAGCACCCAAGACAGAATAATGTATCGTTATACATAAATGTTGAGGAGGATGAACCATCAGATAAAAGCTGAAGAAAGATGAGTTAGTGGTTCTCACTGGATCTACAGAGGCAAGGTTATAAACATTTTGGGGAGGACTGGTCCTGGCTAAGAGGAAGTTTCATCTGAAGGATTGTAAAAGTCAGAGGAAGACTAAATCATAAGGGTGACTTTCCACAGGGAATTCACAGCCTCAGGGCAGCTCCTACACCAAACCATGTGCTGTTGCTAATATGAAGCATCCCTCCAGGGAGAACTCTGTGACCTCTGCACTCCACACATGCCATCTAGTATGGCCTGAACCTTAGCCTCCTGTGGCCCCTGAGAATTACTCAATGATTTATATACAGACCATTTCCACAACTGCTTATCACTATGCATAAATGACATAGAATTTGTCCAGGACTACTCCTCTCCATAACATACATAATCTTGCCTTTGTGGATCCTGTAGGAACCACACATCTGTCTTTCTCTAGTATCTCTCTACTTGGTGGATCATTTCTGCTCAGCATTCATATACAAGATACCTACTCCACGCCTTTGAGCTGCATTTCCAATGTTATCCAAAAGCCCAGGAACTGTCTTATTCAAGTATTTCCTGGGAATCTGGGCTTAAAAAGCTATTATGAACCTCACTCCTGTCTCATGGGGCTGAGCTCCTCAGAGCAGCCCTCTGATGAGGGGAAGGTGACTCGTGCTGTCCACTGTCATCAGAACAGGAGATGTCCGTCCCACTAACACTTCTCTTTACCCCTCCTCCACACCTAAAGTCAAGAATCTTCACTGGGAACCATATTTTAAAGCAACCAACATTGTTCAATAATGGTTTCAAGTAAAGGCCATGTTTCTCTTGTTACTATCAGTGAATAATCTGTATTGTGCAAATCTAACAGTGTTTTTCTAATCTCAAAATTGATTTTATAATACTATGACCTCAAACTCTTTAACATACACATATTTAATGCATTCTAACTGAATGCTTACAATAACCTCTTCCCCTTTATTAAGGCCAAGAGAAAATCTAACAAAAAAAATCAAACATCCTAGAAAGCTTCTTTGCTTTAGTCTATACTTAAAAACCAAACTTGTGTTCTGTGAATAACCAAACCAGTGACGTCATGTGCAGCTATGAGGGCAGTTTCAAATGATCCTACGATCTCAAGCCATGTCATATAATAACTGCCCAACTAGTTCAAGGAATCCTATGTCTTTGAGCCTAAGATATGAACAAACACATAGAAGCTAAAACAACACACTTTACCTGGTGGTGAAGTTGCATGGGAAGGATCCCCATAGTGCCCATAATGAGGTGGGGAGTCTATTCCTGGCTGGGACTGAGAATAGGGTGGTGTGGCCACATAACCTTGTTGACTCATTATGAAAATATTCCAAAGGAAAGTTCCACAAAAGAACCCTGTAACAGAAAAACCAACAAAAAACACATCAAAAGGCACTTAGTTATTTAATTCTACTAAACATACAAGCACTGTCATTTATGATGGTTTGAGGAAAAGTACAGGTATCACATGCATGAGGTATCTTCATATCACATGAAATTACATGGGTATCCCCTAAAAAGGGTTTAACTATAAACTCAGTAATCCCACTTTCATAGTCCAGGCATAAAATGTGAACAACTGCCAACCACGTTTTCACTGGAAGCTGAAGTGTCTCACAAATAACCTCTGCTAAGTGTTCCTGCTACTTCTTTGCTTTTGATTTCCATGAACACATTTTAGCATACAGAACACCATGCCACTGAACAGGGGACCACCGAAACTATAAGTGGGCTGCAGCCGATGATTTGTGACTTGTATGTGTTTTACTGTTCTCCTAATTATAAATTTTAATCTATTAGTTGGGACAAAGAGAAATCACAACACAACAAATATAACCGAAGATAACGTGGACAGTGGCCTTTTCTACGTCATAATTTAACTAAGCCCAGTGACAAGTACAAGAGCTTGAGAGTCAGCAATGGTTTCTCCGTTGAAGAGGACAGAATTTCTTTCTGGTTTAATGCTAGCACACCTCTAAGAACATATGCACCTATATTTAAGGAACTAAAAAAAAGTCTAATTCCATGTACAGACATACACACAAATATAACATTCATCTTGAATCTACTCAGAATCCAAACTTCAATTTGTTTTAATTTTTTTATTTTTCCAGGTTTCTACAACATGTTATTCCATAGAACGATTTTCAATAAATATTTTACAACACGACGGGAAGATCTCTGAATCCTGGCAAGAGAAGTAAGTGTTCACTCCATCTCTGCCAGAACTTAGCTGTGTGACACCCAGTAAGCCGGCAAACTCTCTGGGCCCCGGTTCCGTCTTTTAGAAATAAAGCTTCCAAAAGCCTCTGCAAGTAGAAAACTTCCTTTTGTCCCGTAATTTGCTGTCTTTAAAAGGAAGGGAAGGGTTGGTGATACCTGCTAAGGCTTGGAATGCATATATACTCAGCGAATGGCGTTAACATTCACATTTATGATTTGGTTTAATTTCCGTATTAAGTTATGTTCCCTAAATTAATGCAACTGAGTAAAAATATGACGAGGCAGCCACCTTCTGCTAGGACCCGGACAACTAGAAAGAGCGGCGAGGCCGGTAAGGTTTTCGGGTCCACTTTGTTCCCGACACTCCGCCTCCTCCCGCTTAGCGGAGCGAGACGTGGCAGCCGCGCGCTGGTCCAGGCCGGGAAGCTGGCACCGGCGCCCACGCGCAGCCTGTTGCGGGTCCGCGGCCCGGAGCGCAGGAAGCGTCGGTCACCCTCGGCGGTCCAGGGGGATCCGCTTCCTCCCGCAGCGCGGTGCCACGTCGAACTTCCTCACCCCATCACCAACTTGACCTGACTCAGCTCGGGAGGCGACGTGGCATCAGGCCACCTGGCACGGCAGGCCCAGGACAGCCCTGGGGGCGCGCATCCCGGAGGGCCCGGGGCCCGGCCGCCCGCGACCCCGCGACCCCGCGAGC